GGATGCTGGCAGGACAGGAAAAATCTGCATTCGTTGGGGTGGGCCTGGGAAAGTATTTCCAGAACAGGAAACTAAATGAGAAAAAGTCCAGAGGCAGGAAGTGCAGGAAGCTGTGTGTGTGTGTGTGTGTGTGTGTGTGGTGTTAATGGTGGAAGGCTGGAGGTATGATCTATAGTTGGAAAAGCTCATCATATAATGAGGGAGGGGCAGCTGAAGAGCATGAATTTAATGTGTTTGATAAACCAAATATATTTCAAATTATCATGTGGCATGTTAAGCTCTGGGAAGATGACTTCAGTCAGCAGGCTGAAAGTAGCATCAAATTGAAGAGTGTGTTGGAGAGCAGAAAGTCTGAGAATCTAACTGTGTGTGTGTGGATAAAGAAACTGAGACCAAAGAGGAAGTGCCTTGCCAGTTTCAGGACAAAGAAAGGACTACAAATTTTCCTTTCTTTTACCTCCCCTTGTCCATTATGCTTCTATTTCCAGGTGGGCAGGCCCTTCTGACTCTTCTCTCTTCCTGCTGGTCTGCGTACAACCAGTCTCCATCTCTTGAGAAAGTTATCTGGTTTCATCTAAATACCCAGGCCCTACACCGGCTGCATCTTCCTCTGCCTTTGACCAGGAACAAGAAGAAGAAGGGAAAAAACAAAACAAAGTTGAATACCTGTAATGACAAAGGTGGTCACTTTGTTAAAGACTCAGTGACACATTAAGACTCTCAGTCCAATAGCAGAGAAAGACAACGTGACTAATGACATTATGCAGTTATAGGGACTAAGCAAAGAGTGACAGATGTACTCTGTAGGGGCAACACATCCACTGAAGGGGGTGGGAGGGGCAAAATGACCTCTCAGAGGGACTTTCCTGGTGGTCCAGAGGCGGACTCTGTGCTCCCAAAGCAGGATATCTGAGTTTGATCCCTGGTCAGGGAACTAGATCCCACATGCTGCAACTAAAGACCCTACATACTGCAAGGAAAAATAAAGATCCAGTGTGCTGCAACTAAGATCATGCTGAATCCCATCAGAGGTGTCTGACTCTTTGGGACCCCATGGACCATAGCCTGCCAGGCTCCTCTGTCCATGGGGTTCTCCAGGCAAGAATTCTGGAGTGGGTTGCTATGCCCGCGTTCAGGCAACGAAGATCAGCATAGTCTAAATAAATAAATATTTTTTTAAAAAGGAGTCTCAGAGGTGATATTTAAGGGGAGTCTAAAGAAGCTAGGTATCCTGGAATGTGAAGTCAAGTGGGCCTTAGAAAGTATCACTACGAACAAAGCTAGTGGATGTGATGGAATTCCAGTTGAGCTATTTAAAATCCTGAAAGATGATGCTGTGAAAGTGCTGTACTAAATATGCCAGCAAATTTGGAAAACTCAGCAGTGGCCACAGGACTGGAAAAGGTGTTTTCATTTCAATCCCTAAGAAAGGCAATCCCAAAGAATGCTCAAACTACTGCACAATTGCACTCATCTCACACGCTAGTAAAGAAATGCTCAAAATTCTCCAAGCCAGGCTTCAGCAATATGTGAACCAAGAACTTCCAGATGTTCAAACTGGTTTTAGAAAAGGCAGAGGAACCAGAGATCAAATTGCCAACATCCGCTGGATCATCGAAAAAGCAAGAGAGTTCCAGAAAAACATCTATTTCTGCTTTATTGACTACGCCAAAGCCTTCGACTGTGTTGACTATGCCAAAGCCTTTGACTGTGTGGATCACAATAAACTGTGGAAAATTCTGAAGGAGATGGGAATACCAGACCACCTGACCTGCCTCTTGAGAAACCTGTATGCAGGTCAGGAAGCAACAGTTACAACTGGACATGGAACAACAGACTGGTTCCAAATAGGAAAAGGAGTACATCAAGGCTGTATATTGTCACCCTGCTTATTTAACTTATATGCAGAGTACATCATGAGAAACGCTGGGCTGGAAGAAGCACAAGCTGGAATTAAGATTGCCAGGAGAAATATCAATAACCTCAGATATGCAGATGACACAACCCTTATGGCAGAAAGTGAAGAGGAACTAAAAAGCCTCTTGATGAAAGTGAAAGAGGAGAATGAGAAAGTTGGCTTAAAGCTCAACATTCAGAAAACTAAGATTATGGCATCTGGTCCCATCACCTCATGGGAAATAGATGGAGAGACAGTGGAAACTGTGGCAGACTTTATTTTTTTGGGCTCCAAAATCACTGCAGATGGTGACTGCAGCGATGAAATTAAAAGACGCTTGCTCCTTGGAAGGAAAGTTATGACTAACCTAGATAGCATATTAAAAAGCAGAGACATTACTTTGCCAACAAAGATCCGTCTGGTCAAGGCTATGGTTTTTCCAGTGGTCACGTATGGATGTGAGAGTTGGACTGTGAAGAAAGCTGAGTGCCGAAAAATTGATGCTTTTGAACTGTGGTGTTGGAGAAGACTCTTGAGAGTCCCTTGGACTGCATGGAGATCCAACCAGTCCATCCTAAAGGAGATCAGTCCTGGGTGTTCATTGGGAGGATTGATGCTGAAACTGAAACTCCAATACTTGGGCCACCTGATGAGAAGAGTTGACTCATTGGAAAAGACCCTGATGCTGGGAGGGATTGGGGGCAGGAGGAGAAGGGGACGACAGAGGATGAGATGGCTGGATGGCATCACCGACTTGATGGGCATGAGTTTGAGTAAACTCCGGGAGTTGGTGATGGACAGGGAGGCCTGGCGTGCTGCAATTCATGGGGTCGCAAAGAGTCGGACATGACTGAGCAACTGAACTGAACTGAACTGAACTAAAGAAGCTAGGTTAGGGTGACCACGTGTATGGAGAAGAAGAGAGAAACCTGTAGAAGACAGGTAAGTGGGGCAGTTAAGGTGTCAGAAACCACCAGACCTCCAATTGGCTGGAGGGCTAAGGACTGGCAGACATAACACTTGAAGGGCTATGCAAACCGCATGAAGGAGCTTGGCCTGATGGGTTTTAAGCTGAGGACAGGCCACACCAAGTTGCTTTTTATTTTCCATCTTCAATGGCCCTGTTACTATTTCTCCAGTAGCTTCTTCATACCCTCTTGGTCAGCTGTGACAGATTATGAGTTCTGCACACTGGAATGTTCAGACTGACCAGATGGTTACTCAGCAGTGGGTGGGTAGAGGCAGGCTGCCTGGGCTCAGAGGGGCATTTCAGCTTGCCATGTACTAGCTCTGTGTTAAGAGCAGGCTACTTTACCTTCCTGGGCTAGAGAAAATACTGCTGCCAAGCTCAGAAGGGTTCTGTGAGGGTTAAGTGAAATATGGATGAAAAATCCTTAGAATATTGCCAGGCATATGTAAGGTCAGAGAAAGGACTGACAAGAGCTACACAATGGCCTCTGAGAAAGGGATGGTCCTGGACGCAAGAAATGGGGGCACCAGAGCCTAGCCTTGTTCAAAGTCTTTTGTGCCATCACTGGACCTACGAGACTGCATCTGTAGGGCTTCAGGCCACCAGTGTGCAATCCTCTGGTCACATAGCCTCTGCCCCGTCTGAAATTCTGTGCTTCGTCTCTGAACTCACCCTCTGTTTCTCTAGAATTGTGTCTGTAGCTTTACACAGCCTTCCCTTCTTCCCCAAGTCCCTGCATGCAGCAGGCTTTAATAGGGTTGTTGAGAGAAGTGTGAATACAAAAGAAATCAGATCAGCACACGAAAATGAGGCTTTTGATTTGAGTTTGCACTGTTGACAAGACTGCATGTGGTTCGCCAAGCATCCAATTTATGACTTTGCCTCCGACACTCCTGGTGAGTGCCTCCTGAGTAGAAATTATCCTTTGCGATTAACTTTAAACAATACTTGTGCTAACACCAGGCCCACCTGAGCATTTCATAAATATTTCAGGAGGGGTGACACAGTGGTCTTCCCTAACACACTCATACAACAGTTTCAACATAATTAGGAGCATTTCTGGATCTAACACAGCACTCTTACAATGTGTATGATGAAGGAAATGAATGGCACTAATTATACCTTATTAAATCTTATTAATCCTCATTAGAACCCTATTATTCTTTATAAGTGGGTTACTGGGGAAGGAAAAAAAAAGAAATGCTGGTCAAGTGCCGTTATAACCAATGGGGAATGGGTGAATCCATTCTTACTTTGTGTGATACCAGGAGTTTTTCAAATTAAACAGTACCACTTAGAATGTGGGTTTGCTGAAATGTTGAGCATAGAAGTGAATTGCGGTGTAAGAGAATAATCTTTTTAAGCCCCAGAACAAAATGTCTTTAGGAGCTCACATTTCCTATTTGAAACTATACCAGTTGCAAAGAGAAAAATATTTAATTATTGAATTTCTCTATTTTCATATTTTTTTGTAGGAATAGATGAGAAATTGAGAGCAAGAGAGATTAATTTGGAAGCAGAAATGTGTAAAGTCAAAGACTTTGCACAAAGAATATGCCTGATAAATGGTTAAGTGCAAAAATATGTTTCTGCATTTGTTTAATTCTTGGTTAAAAAAAATAAAGTCACACCAAATCTCAAAAGAACCAAGTTTTGGAGATTTCATGAACTAGTAACTCATGGTGTGCTCTCAACATTTATTAATATGAATTAGGAGATCAGGGCCTCCTCCTTTGGTGGAATAATCATGGGATCAGTCAGCGGACCTTGACACCAGAGGTGGGTTCAAATTGCTTGCTGTTTCTGGGTTGGGTAAGTTATTTTGCCTGACTTTTTACCTCAAATGTCAAAGAAGGACTACAGTTTGTTTTATGAAGATCTTATAAACCTGGGAGAAAGTGCTTTTACGATGTACTGGGGTGAGGAATGATTAGTTTAGACATCAGGAAGCAGGACAGAAGTATAAGGAAAGGAGTCTCCAGCCTTGGCGTGCCTTCCAGGCAATGGCTGACGCACATTATAGCCCCCTCACATGGTGCTCACATTTACAAATACCAGAGAAAAAGTCCTACACAAACCTTCCAAGAACAGTCTTGCCTTTATTCAACTAATTCACCCAGTTCGTAGATTTATTTATTTATTTTTTGAAGCTATAAGCACAAGGTCTGGGTTTCTGGATAGGGCTGTGAAGTAAGTTCCAGGGGTTCGTTTATTTGAGCACTGGATGGAGGGAGTTGCCTTGAAGTAACTGATCAGCATGGCTATGCAGGGTTCACTGGCAATCAGAACCTTCCAGGAACTGACCGCGTAGGGGCCCCGGGGAAGCTCCGAATCTCTTCCCAGGGTGGTCCGCGTTGCCCTCTGACATCCAGCCCCGCTGACTGGTCCGCGGGAAGGAGGGAGTCGGGCCCCTGCCTGCAGACAGTAACATAGCTGGGAGACTGAGCATCCGGCTCCCGCGCCGGGATCTGTGGCGGGCATGACCTTGTACGAGTCGTTTCTCTTCCGAGAGCTTCAGATTTCCCGTGTGAAGTGGACGGGCTGGAAGTTGGTCGGGGCCAGTTCCGACATCCAGGACGTTTGAACCTTGCTGGGAATCCGGGGCGGGGCTCACGAGCAAGATCTTGCAGGGGGATTCCACGGCAGAGCTCGTCTACTCAGACTCAATCCCCTAGTCTGGCGCCCTAACAGTGGACGCAGGTTCCCTCATTTTTTTTCAGTAGCCCCTTCGCCGCGGCCGCTTCCTCCTTCCACGTCTCCTTCCTCTTCCTCCAGGGCAGGCAAAGGCTCCACACCTCCCTCTTTCCCTTCCTCCCCGGCAAGCTCCCCGCATTCCCGGCGTCGCCTTCTCTTCCTCCCAGGAAATCCACCGCCCTCGGTGCACCCACCTTGGGGGCCGGGCCACGGCCCCCGAGGTGGGCGCCCCCTCCCCCGGCGGCGAGCGCCGCGGCCCCGCGGGCACCCGCCTTCCCATACCTTACATGGACAAATGCGTGCAGGCAAAGTCAGGAATTCAGGCCCCTGACGTCAGCCTCCAGCTCTCAGGGCACCGCACGGGAGACCGAGGGGAGGGGGTGGGGACGGCGGGAGGAAGGAGGGGGAAAGGCACCAACCAGCAGCCGCTCCAGCCTTGCCGAAGTTTCACTTTTTGTCTGTGGGTTCGCTCCCGGGCCCCGCGCGAGCTTTCCCGGGATAAGTAGCTTTAGCGAGCGGGGGACAGCCGGCCGCTGCAAGGTAAGGGCTGGCTGCGCGGCCCGGGGCGCGGGGCGCGGTGCGGGGCGCGGGGCCGGGCCTGGGGACAATGGGAGGGGGAGTGCCCGGGCACCTCCTCCTTCGCCGCTGCCTCCGCCTCCAGCCGCCGCCGCCGCCGCCGCTGCCCCGGCCGCCTCCTCCCCGAGGTATTGTTGCAAATCCTCCTTCCTTCCCCTCACCCTCCGCCCGCGGGCGCCTCGGGAACCCCCAGCCCTCCCCGGCGCGAGCGCCTCCGGGGTGGCAGGACAGCCGGGCGCAGGGCACCGAGCGCGCGCCCGGCCCGGGCCGCAGGGCCCGCGGTGCGGAAGTGCCGGCCGCGGCGCGATCACGGGGTGCACGCGTGGGGGAGGGGGACCCCGAGATTTTGGGGAAGCCTCGACCGGGGGCTGGGCGGGCTTGGAGGCCTTCCCTGCGCGCCCCCTGCCCGGGCTTTTCAGGACTCCCAGGGGGCGGGGCCACACCCAGCAGCTCTGCGCTTTCGCGGAATCACAGTTGTCACTGGGGAAGGGGCCTAGGAACCCAGGCATCAAGTTCCCCCATTTCCCAGCTGGGGCAACTGAGGCCTAGAGAGCCGAGTCTCCCCAAAGTCGCTCACTACAGGCAGAGCCGTAACTAAAATCAATGGCTCCCGACTCCTGGTTCCTTTCCTCCAAGCAGTTCTCCAGCACTCACTGTGTGCCCCACTGTGCTGGGTTATTGGGTCCAGAGGCATTTAGGGCCCAGACTCTGCCCTCAGGAAGCGTTCAGTCCACTGAAGACCCAAACCTGACCCGAGGCAGAAGGTGCTAAGTCCTGGGTAAGGGCGCGGGGCGGGGCTCGGAGACTGGAGTTTGATCTCCTGGTCCTTCACGGAGGATCGGAGGCTTTTGAAGGATGGGGGCGGTTTTCTGAAGTCAGAGACTAGGGGACAAGGAACGAGGGCATGTGTCGTTGGGACCTGCAGAGGCAGGGAAGACTCAAGTGTGGACACTGGAGATGAAGCGGTAACTTACGTGCTGGGGGCATGGGGTGGGGCAGCGTGGGTACCTAAGATGGGGTAATCAGTGGAGCTGTGCTTGAGTGCACTTGGACAGAGGGGTGTCTTTGGTACTTTGGGGTGCTGGGGGAGCTGAAGGATGTTTCTGGCTTCCCTTCCCTTCTCAGTGATCCACTGCCTGCTCACCCTGAACACAAAATGCAAAAATTTACTTTAGCCTTTGAGCTTCTTTTCTAGTACCAGACTCATTTAACTTTGTATCCAATCCCCTCTATCTTTCTGTCTCCTACCCCCCTTTCTAAATTGCTTGCTTCCCAATAAACCTCATTCTCACTAAAGTGTTAGTGACTTAATGGCCTACCTCTGAACATTTGAACAAGAGCATTTTAAGAGAGCCTTTAAGTGGAAAGAGAAAAGCAGCTAAAACCCTCTTCCCTCCAGCTCCCCTCCCCTCCTTCCTCACCCTCCTTGCTGTTACAGATAGGGAAACATAAATAAAGGCCCAGAGAAGGTGGGTGCCAGTTCTAAAGTCTGCAGTAAATTTTGGTAGCTGGTGGAAGGCCAGAACTCTCAGTAGGGTTCTTTGTATCCCATGACCAGCCTTCTTCCTTCAGGGTCTTTGTCTGTACCAGGGTCCATCAAAAGGTTGCAAGGCAGTCTTCCAACCTCAGCACCCAGGCTTTAAAACCTAGAGTATAGATTCTAGGTGAAAAATAAGTAGTTGGGGTTAGCTGTCTGAATAGTGAGGGTGCAAACCTGGAGCCCTTGGGTCAGGCAGCCCCCCAGGGTCATGCTCCACCTACACAGTGGGTGGGCCTGGACCTGGCTTTGAGGATTGGCAGGAGGAGAAAATGCTATTGAGCTGGTTACTATGATCGGGACTGACAGAGTAGGACCCTTCTTGGAGGGACATATTCCAGTGAATAGTCAGTTCCAGACAGTGGTTAATGGGAGAGGAGGCTTCATTATGAAGGTCCTTAAAAATGCCAGGCATGGATATGACTTGAAGTCATCATTTGAGGGTTTTGAGCAGGCTGGGACAGGAGCAAGAGGGAGGAATTGGCACTGGGTAATCCTCTGCTGCCCATTCCAGTGAGAGAGGCAATAATCTGGCCTAAGAATTATCAGTGAGTGAGTGCTCATTTACTCCATACATACTACTACTTACTATATGCCATTGGCAAATGTGAAAATTTTATGGCAGATCCTTTATTTTATTGAGACAGATAACTTGTATTTCATCAGAAAAAGTACACTTTTTCACATTTTATATCAGTGACATTGGGTTGTCTTATAATCACAGATGTGTCATAGTTGAGCAGATCTTTGTCCTAAGTTGATAACGGTGTATCTTACCATTGATAGCTTAGAGCTGATAAAATTTGTTAATCATACCCTTTATGAATGTACAGTGCTTTGCACTTTATAAAAGTTTCCCATCAAATATTCCATTTGAATCTCAAAAATCCCCTGAGAATTGGGCCTGGTGACCCTATCATCTCAATTTTATCTCTTGCCTAAGGTCATCCAGTTAATTAGAAATGAACTCAAAATAATAGCCCAGAACTTTGACTCTGGGTGTTAACATGTGACTACCCTGCGGTGGAACTAGCATGGGTTAATTGGGAATAGGAAGAGTCAGATTGAATTTAATTTCAGAACTATTTTGGGGGTTTTGACCAAGGGCAGAGTGTAACTCACAATGACTTGGAGGCTCTGTTAGCCCAGAGATATAATGCATTAAATAGAAAATGGGCAGGGGGATAGAAGATGCCAGGTAATATAATAAAAAGAGAAGATGGAGCACGTTGCTATTTTTACACCAAAAGGAGAGGAGCAATGGATGAGGCACATGGGTTCTGAAGCCTACCTGCTCTGAAGCAGGAACTGGCTGACCCTAGGAATACAAAGATTAGGAGCACATGGTCCCTGTTCTGGGGGAGCACCTCTGTGTGTGTGTGTGTGTGTGTGTGTGTGTGTGTGTGTGTGTGAGTGAGTGAGTGTCTGGTGCTGTTCTAGGGGTATGTTTCGGTTGCACTGAAGTGGTTCAACCTCAGGGAAGCTACCAGAAGGAGTGGTGCCTAAAGAGAGCCTTTAGGGCCAAATAGGAGTTGCTGAAGTGGAAAAGAGACAGACAGAGATGAACCTGTTAGGTGTATGCCAACAGATGTAGGGAAGAAGGCCTAAGTTTGAATGGCCAGCAGGAACGGAGTGGTGGGAAATGGAGAAATGGGAGGACTTTTCACTTTTTGGTAAGCAGATATAAATCTATCTTGTGAGTTGTAGGGGCCATTAAAGGGTTCTCTAGAGATTCACATAAAAATAAGGCCAGGTAAGGGCTCTGGAAGCATCTGTGGGATTAGGTAATTGGGATAGTAACCACAGGAAGAAGAGTAACACATTTGGTAACTGGTTGAGTGGAGCTGGTGGGCTTCCTGGTGGCTCAGATGGTAAAGAATCTGCCTGTAATGCAGGAGACCCGGGTTCAGTCCTTGGGTCAGGACAATCCCCTGGAGAAGGGAATGGCACACCACTCCAGTATTCTTGCCTGAAGAATTCCGTGGACAGAGAAGCCTGGCAGGCTACAGTCCATGGGATCGTAAAGAGTCGGACATGACTGAGCGACCTTTACTCCTGCCGCTGAATGGAGCTGAGACTTTGATCCAGGGCAGTATTTAGGAGTCCTAGCTCAGCTTGTGCATGGATGGGTGGGGACTTTTCTTGGAATTCAGCATTGGAAGGCTGCACCCAGCTGGAAGAAGTGAGTTGGAAGAGGTGAGGAAAGGGAAAGCAAAGTTGTGGTGCATGCACAAAGCTCCTATCTGGCTGGAAATTCACGGTCTTAAAGGTGTGTGTGAAGCAGAGGTGGAGAAGGGAAGAAGAAACGGAAGTGTGATGTGGGAGTCTGTTGTAGGTGGCTTAGATGTGTGGAGGAAAATGGTGGTGGCTTCTTAAGGCAAGTCACAGAAATGGGAAAAGGACACTGATAAATTGATGAGGACTTCACCTTTCCTGACTTTCTACAAATAGGCTAGGTGGCTGGCCATGGGTTAACGGGATTCATGCTTGGAAACTGGTAAACCACAGAACTGAGGCTAGAAAACACGTGTTTTTTGATATTTCTTAATAATAATATATAAAAATTTTGCATACTTACCATGTACTTAGATAATTCTCATACCGATTCATCAAAGTAGGTTTTATGATTATCAATCTCATTTTGCAGATGAGTAAATGAGTGTGGCCAAATAAGATTTGTTGTTGTTTAGTTGCTAAGTTGTGTTTGACTCTTGCAGCCCCATGGACTGTAGACCACCAGGCTCCTCTGTCCATGAGATTTCCCAGGCAAGAATACTGGAGGGGGTTGCCATTGCCTTCTCCAGGGGATCTTCCCAACCCCTTCTCCAGGGGATCTTCCAGTTCAACCTGGAGAGTTCAACCCTGGATTGAACTTGCTTTTTCTGCGTCTTTTGCATTAGCAGGCCTATTCTTTACCAGTGAGCTACTAGGGAAGCCATAAGTAAGGTTACACAACCACTAAGTGAAATGGCCGAGTTTTGAACCTTTGCCTGATCTACAGCCTCTTCACCACTTTCTTCTTTTTCCACAGAAGGAAAAGTGCAAATTGTGGATGAAAAATTAATCAGTCGATCTCAGAAACGACTGGAAAATTTCATTTGAGTCAAATTTGACGATTATAACTTGAAAGAGCATCTCAGAAAGTTCTGAGAACTGTTTCGCCCATTAGAAGTCCTCTGTCCATGGAATTCTCCACGCAACAATACTGGAGTGGGTTGCCATTTCCTTCTCCAATTAGAAATCAAGGCTCAGTTTTCTAAGTTTTTTGAGAAAGAGGGCTGTACGTCACATGATGTATTATCGACAGTTAATCCAGATCTAAGCATCGTCCTGGTGGGTCATGTGAAACCTTACCAGATCAAGAAGGAATGTTATCTTGTAAGGAGTTGTCTCCTTGGTGCTAGGAGAATGTTGCTCTTTATGGTTGAGCACGTATTCCTGCCAGCGGGGGAGGTCTGGTTGAGGCAGAATGCAGAAGCGTGGTGCACATGGGGGGAGAGAGAAGGCCAAAGGGCAGAGAAGAATTTCTATGTTTACATTTCTCTTGAAAGAAAATATAAATTTTGTTTCACAAAATCACCACCGTCTGGGTTCTTCCTCAGATTTTCGCTCAGTACTCACTTTATCGGGGCCTCAGTGGGATTATAGTTGAGAGTTTCCCTGGCCAGCAGAATTTTCACTTCTGTGCTGATGCTGCCCCAGCCAGGGAGGCATAGAGGGTAAAAGGGCTGGGATGATGAGCTAAAGATGATGGCAGTGGTGGTGGTGGTGGGTGGGGATCAGGAGGGCTTTTGTTACTCTTTGAGCAAAGGAGGGTGTTGTTAGATCTGTGTTTCAGAGAACCCCGGTGGCAGAGTCACAGCAGGTCAGGGCCAGAGATGGGGACACCACTTAGGAGGCTGCTGAAATATTCCCGGTCAGGAAATGCCGGGCCTGCATCAGGTCAGCAGAGAGGGAAAAAGTTGTTTGCTG